AGGTGTAATGCGAGATCAGCTTCTATATTCAGAACGATTCCTAATTTATATTTTTTTTTCTTAATTCATTAAGTTTTTTTTAAAATAAAATTTGTGACGGTCTAAACTGAATGATATTTTAAATGTATGATAATTTATTTTAATGATATTATTATATATAATATATATGAGACTCATACATTTTTATTTTTAGGTAAAATATAAAATATTAACATCTACTTGTAAATCTTGTAAGAATAAAATCATTTAAAAAAAAATATGTGAAATATAAGAATTGATCCTATTAAGATACATTTTTTTAGATAAGATTAAGAGTAAAATCTAGTTCTATTTCTAACTTTTCTTTTCGATTAAATGATTATATTTCGGTATATTTATGAATTTCAAATTATTTAAAAATTAAAATTAATGATTATTTATATATATTATTTTCTGTATCAAAATTAATGATAATTTTTATATATCATTATTGGTTAATCTACTGATATATTTTTTAAAACCATAATTATAACGGATTAAAATTTTAAAATATATTTATATCTTTTATAAAATAACTATCAAAATATAGAGAAATGTAAAACACACTAATGTATATGCATTTTATTAGTAATATTTATTAAAAATAGAGAATATTTAACTCAATAATATAAAATTAATTTTAAAAAATAAAATTTGTATCTCATCAATATATTATAATTGTATCTTATTTTTAGTATTTTATTACTAGAAGAAACTTTTTTGTCAGACTCGGAAAAAGTTTTCATCATTAATGTTAATATTTGGATACATTCGTTGAAATGATAAAAGAGTATATATTATAATTTTATTTTTTTATTCTTAAATTGTGTTAACATTTTTTTATTTTTAATTATTATAATGATCTTCATTGTAAAACGATGTACGGACAATGTTTTCAAAATTTATAGAAAATTCCACGAATGATATAAAATATATGATAATGTAACATGTCAAAATAAAATAAAGTATATTTTAAAATTTAAGAAACCTAAAAAAATATGAATATAATTGAAATAAATGTATAAAAAGAAAATATTTATATAATTTAGTCGTAATAATAATTTACTCACTTTTATGAGGTTGATATTCAAAATTTGATAAGTATTGCAGAATTAGAGGTAGAAAAAAAATAGTTTATCTCGTTTTCCATCATAACATAACGGATTTTAGATTTTCAGCTGGTCAATATATATATATATATATATATATATATATATATATATATATATATATATATATATATATAATTATTTATTATTGTTAAATTATTTTATTTAATAAATTAATAAAATCATTATATTTATATATTAAATATTTAATTATAAATAATATACTAAATTTAATTTATTAATATTTATAATTTAAATTATATTTTATTTTTATTTTAGTAAATAAATATTAAAAAAAACAAAATCTGCCGAACCTAACCCTCGTTCTGAGATTAGTAATGTCATTCTAGAAAATATATACGAAGGTGACGTAGGTTCGAGCACAGTTATGTTTATTATGTTTTACACTCCAACCACCATCTCAATTCTCTCTTCAATACTATCTCCGGCTTTTCTAACACCCAGAGTTAGTGCATGTTTCTGAAGTTTTAGTGTGGTCTTGACTAAAGCATAATTTATCTTATAATTTATTTTTCTACACTTTAATTTGTCAAACCTCTATTATAAATATCTTTATCAAATTAATACGTGAAAAAATTATGATTAAGATTGATTTCATATTAATTATTTAGTGAAACATTAGCCAACTTAATCATATTTAGTGCAAACATTCTCCAAATTGTTTTTTTAGTTGTTATACTAAAAAAATTCCCATAAATAATAAGTGGTTCATTTTTTATATGTTATATTGAAGTTTTTTATTTCAGAAAATATTTTGTATGTATTAATTTTGCTTTAATTATAAGTTAACAATATAAAATTAGAAACTATATGTGAGATTTTTTACAAATTAGTTTTTGCATGATTTTAGTTTATACAAATAATAATTTAAATTTATATTCCTAATTCTTTCATCTTTCATCTTTCAAAAAACTATGAAGACTCATCTAAACATATTCTTGAATTCTTCTATTGTTTGATTTGGGTGGTGGGAATTACAGAATTTGTCATGATAAATGCTTAATGTAAATAAAAAGAAGAAATTATTTTACGTTTATTAATTTAAACATTGCAAAATTAATGTAAATACATTATTTTACCATTATATTATTTGTAAGAATATATAAGTTATATAATTATTTATAATATCTATTCCGTCTTTTCTAAAAGGTATTGTGTTTTGTTTTGATACTTTTTAAATATGTAAAGTTTAAGATTATGTTAATTATTTATTATTAAGTATATTCTTATTTTTAAAATAAAAAAATAATATCATTTCATGAAACTTGAATTATAATTTGTACTTTATTGTATTAATATATTACGAATATAAACTACAATTTTCTCCACCAATAATATAAAAGACATAAAAAAAATAATAAAATGAGTAAATGTTTCACATTTTTACGTTTTTTAAAGAAAAAAAAGAAGTTAAATAAGTCATTATAAATAATTTTGATGAATAAAATAATAAAAATATTATCAAACAAATATTAAAAAATTATTATAAATTATTAAAGTGTTTTTAATTTATTCTATTTAAACCTTTTAAACCTAATATATTTTAAATCAGAGGAGTATAAGAGATTTTTTTAATCATTCTTTACTGTTATCAAACAGAAAAAAATTGAATATATATATCTATGTTAGTATTTTTTTTTCTTTATTTCTCTTAATCATACTTGTTTATCATTTTTTTTCTTTCAAATATAAAATAATAAATAATAAATATACTTTTGTTCATATTTTCACACTATCTCAGTTACACGTTTTCTTCAATTTGTCTCTATTCTTAAAATTCTATCTTCAACAATTCATTTGTAATTTCAGAAATAAATATTTATATTTTAAATATATATATATATATATATATATATATATATATAATTTCAATAAATAAAATAAAAAAATAACAAAATTACATATACTGTCGCATTTTCTATTAATATTTATTTCACATGACTATTTATTTTTCTTGCAAATAATACAGTCAGTGGCGAAGCAAGGGACCCACAGGACCATGTTTCCTCTACAAAAAAATCAATTTTGTTTATATATAATAATTATTTTTAAAAAATTATTTTACAAAATATAAGGTAAAAAAAATATCCTACAATAATTTATTGAAGTGAAAAAATAATAAATATTTTTTTTATTATATATATAATAAAATATAAAATATTGGTATAATATTTTATTTGTTATTAATTAATTAATTATTTAATATATTTATGATGGTTTATTTTGATATTAAAATGTGAAAAAAAAAGTTGAGTTTTAAAAGTATCTAAAAAAATTTATAAAATCAATTAAAAAAATAGAAACAAACTCTAATTTCTAAAATTTAAATTCAATTAATAATATTTTAAGTATTTGATATAAAACATATAAAATGTTGATGAGTAATCTAAGATTTGGTAGTTTGCCCTAATAGACTATAAGTGTTAGTGATCTATTTAAATGATTTCACAAGAAATGGTTGTGAATTCTCTCACTCTCTCTGAAACGCTAGGTGAATTGTCATTGTCCAGTTTCTACAAGTCATTAGATTGAACTGAAACATGTAGACATATACAAGTAAATTTGTTCTGAATTCAATGCAGAAATAACAATTTTAAAAGTGGAAATGTCTTAAAAAGTAACGAAATTGGTAGGAGGAAAGGGTTGATGAAGTAGTAAACAGAAAGGTTAAGATTATGGTGGTTGACATTAGATTGGGGACATAACATAACATAACAGTACAAATGAGAGACAGAGGAAGCAACTCTTATTTGCACACTGCAATGCATGCAAATGCAGAGGGGGCCAAGCCCAGTTGCAGACTCTTCTTCAATTTCTCTTTTCTCAGTAATCCCACTTTGCCACGTGTCACGTCGCATTCCAATAACCATGACACGTTGTCTCTGCCCAATTACAGGCCGACAACCTTCCTCAACCGCACAAAGGGACATTCATTGCAGTCCAAACAACGTTTCAATCACCAAATAAAATAAACCCTAAATGTTTTATTACTAATCCTCCACTTCATTCCTGTCAAAATTATGTACTTCATCTGCAAGAGTAAATCTCATATTTTCAGTACACTGTCTTATATATTTTACTTCTTTATTTTCTTACTTTTTAAAAACTTTTTTTTTTAATATTTATACTTATCATCTTATAAAATACTATCAAGTTTGCATGGATCAGTGCCATCAAAATGTACTTTCACATTAATATTGTGTTTAATAAAAATATTTTAAATTTTGGGCAATTAAAAGTAGTTTTTTTTAATCTTTATATTTTTAATTTAACTTATTATTCAATGAAAATATTGCTTATAATATCGCAGGATATTATTTTCGGATTCAAACTGGAACTGACATGCATTTATACAATTCACATGGACAAAATTCTAACAGTGTTTAGTCTGATACAGTTGAGAAATCCTGACAGTTTAAGAGATGAAAAAGGAAGAAAAAGAAAGCTTTTTCTTTAATTTGACAAGAAAGAAGAGAGACAGTAAATAAAATATGTTTTTAATCTCACAGTAAACTTCAACTTCAAATGCTGCTTTAGCTTTAATTAATATAGATGAAATAAGGAGAAGTTTTTTTTTTTTTTTCAAATCAAACAAAATAAAATTGAAGAAGAGATAGAAAAAAAAAAACTTTTCTCTCCAACAAAATTTTATTTTCTTTTCGAAAAAAAAACAACAACAAACAATAAATTTATGTAGTGTATTACTGCCCAGAATCTTTTTCCATTAATGAAACCACTTTTCTCTTTCGCTGCAAACACTCACACCAAAGCGTAGAATCTTTCACCCACACCGCGATCCATGAGTTAATCCGTTTTGCAGAGAAAAAAAAAAAAGCTTTCTCTTTTTCTCTCATGGCTTCCTCGTGCCGAGGCTATTCCAAGGCCCAAATGTGCTTCTTCAAGATTCTCCGCATAATTTCATCCACTCCACCCTCCCCAGAACAACAACAACATGACGAAGAAGAACCCTTCCCCGCCAAAGGGGTCGGCATCGATTTGAATCTCAGATTCTCTTCCCTTACGGAATCCGAATCTTCTAGAAGCGATGACAACGCCTCTGCCACGATTCAAAACAGCATCGGAGAAGAACAAGAAGAAGGGTTTCCAGAGAAGAGCGTTCAACTTTCAGAGAAACTCGACATCAACGATAACAACAATGAAGTTAACGACGTTCGAACGGCGTCGTTCCAGGGGCGCGATAGTAATTGTCTCGATTTGCTTATAAAAGCGGCGAGAGTGGTGTCTGGAAAAGATGAGTCTGACTCGGAGGACGAGAGGGGACTCGATACAGAGTTAACCCCTCAGAAAGCGAGTCAGGAGAAACGGAAAGATAGGTGGGTTGTTGTCGATATATACGGCGACGTCGTGGAGGAGCGAGAGCCTGTGGTCCGGTCCAAGCGAGGGAGGAACCAAGCGTTGCCGTACCGGTTCAGAGACTCGGTGGTCGAACCGTTGAAACGCGCCACTCGTTCTCAGAGACCGCCGTCAACCCCACCCCTTACAAAACGACTTCTAAGGTCGTCGTCCACAACGTAAAACGGTAATGCTTATTTTTCCTTTTCTATTTATTTATTACTATTATTATTATTATTATGATCATAATTAACTAGGTTTCTCGTAAAAAGTATACCTTACATAAGGTAAAATAAAGTGCTTCCAATGTTAAAACGACAACGCATTTTAGATGTCCATTTTATTAATTACTCATTAATTAAGTAGTAGTTTCTTGAGCATCGAGAGTAGGAATGGAAAAGTTGGAACAAAATTAGCATAGGCATCGCATGTTGTCGTGATGTTTCGTAACACCAATTATCGTACTGTAAGACTAACAGATTATAAATAATTGTACATCATTACATCTTATAAAGTTAATAATAACAATAAACTCTTACTATTATTGTTTCTCATGACATGACATTACATTGTAAAGGACAACGATAGACAGAAAGAAAAAAATTATGAAAGAGAAATGTGAATAGTGAATTTTCGATTAAAGCATCAAAATGAGTCTTTTTTTTTTTCTTAGTAACTTTTTTTTTTTTTTTTTTGTGATTCATGAGATTAGGTTTAAGATTGAAGCAAGCATGAATGCATGGTCATGTTTCACTGATGTCTCTTCCCAAAACTCGTTTGAAGCTACGATGGAAGTGATTTTGGAAATGGAAGAAGAGGAGACAAACAAACAGGACTTGTGGCTACGAAAATGCACATGTTTTAGCTCTTGGAGTTTTAGTTGTCTATTTATTTGATCTGCGAGAACATTGTAGGTTGTCGGGTTCAAAGTTCACAGAGGGAAAGAAAAAGTAAGGTAGAAAGGGTTTTTATTTTTTTTGTTCTTGGACCTTGGTTATTGTGTTGCTACGATACCACCTCCCAAACTGCTATAACTTTTCGTTGCGAACACTGCGAATTGCAGTTTAGGGAATTGAATTCGATTCAATGGTCTCTGCATGTGATGTGATGTCACGCATATATGGGGTTATGATTTCTTTCTTTCTTTGGTAAGTGGGCGTTGCTTCCATTTACAATTTTTTTTTTCTCCCTTTCTTCCATTAAAATCAATCATAATCATGCTTTACATCTAATCATGATTCATAAACATTGGTGAAGTTGATCAACACTTGGTTCATTAGCTACAAGACAATGTTATACCAACATGGAGATTGGTAATATGGTTGCAAGATAATTTTTTAATCTATAATTTTGAGTACGCTTTTTTTTTCACAAGTGTAATATACTAATAATTATAAACTATATATAATTATATTAATGTTATAAATAAGACATAATAAATAAATCTCATTAATATAAATTTTAATATTATATTCAAAATAAAGATGTTTAATTAAGTTTTACAAAATTAATTTATAAAAAATCATATATTGATTTTATATTATAAATTGATTATATTTTTAGTCTATATAAAATTTGTAATATATTTTAATAAAACTCACATCTTTATTAGACTAGTATATTTTCAGAATGTGAGAAATATAAATCTAACAATTATATATATATATATATATAATGAACATTAGAAATATAAGTTATTGTTATTATCTCTTGATATAAACCTGAAATCCTAAATGATATAAGAGAAAGATTGAGGAAGTATTATAATAATATTGACTGAACCAAGTGTTGAAAACTACTTCAATTATTGGTTTAAGGTAGAAAGAAAACAATTTTCCATGATGGATGGGAAAGAGGAGATGTTTTGCTTTATTTAAGACTCCAAATAATTTGCCCATTTTAAGATAAATGAAATACCTAATAGAGGCATGCATAGTCAAAATTGTTGTATCTTTTTCCCATACCTTTTCGCGAAAACTTTCCCTTTTATACCTTGACAACCAAACTCTTCAAACTTCTATTTCTTTCCCATTCCTTCAATCCTTATCTTTTGTCATGCCATCATGATTCACACTATGAACACACATGTGTTTCCCTTTCCCTGTCACCAGTTAGGTCTTCATTCATGGCTTAGCTCCTTCTCACTCCTCACTCTTTTCAGCAAATTTTTGTTATGCATTAACCACCATAACAGCCAAGTCAAGAGACCCACCACGTTACCCCTCACTGCATTTGCCTATATATTACCATACATTTGAATACGATGTGCCTTGTCTTTTGAAATGTTACTTTCTTGCATAAATTTCTCTGACACTCCATTTATGTTTACATAAAATCGATAGTTTTCTTGTATGTAGTGCTCCTTACAAATCAATAGTTATAGATTCATTCACACATTAATAATTTACTAGTTAAGTGCATTAAACAAGATATTCTTCTATTTAAATTTTATATATATAATATGGTAATAATACAAATTTATATTCATGATGTATAATTATATTATTAAAATAATTATGCTGAGTCTTATAAAGGAGACAAATTCTCTTATTGGTATATTGCTTAAGTACCATAGTACTTTTAGGTTAGTTTTCAAATTAGTTGGATGAGTTATTAGTTTTAATCCGTCAATCAAGTTTATTCTATCTCACCTAACTAATCAACTCGATGAATTAAAGACGTGAGATGAGATAGACTAACCTACTGACTCATTTTAAAATATTTATATATTAAAATTTAAATAAAAAATTATAATTAAAAAATATTATATTTTTTTGTTATATTATTGAAATATATAAATATACTATCATATTATAATATAAATTATAAAATTTAACCAATTAATCTTAAATTATTAATTATACTTAAGTACTTTGATACATAAATATAATTATTTTCTCAATTTATCTAATAAAAATATTAATTAATGAATAAAAACTTGAAAAATATTCATATAATTAAAGTTGTATTTCTAAAAAATATACATAAAAATTTTATATAAAAAAATATTGACTGGATCGACATGCTACTTTGTTAGCTTGTTCTTTGATACAATAATTGTGACATATGTTTTTATTATTTATTATTATATATTATAATAATATTACACAAGTATAAAAACTTCATAGTGAATTTTCCTTTGCACTAAAAAAAAATTATATATACGTGCGAAGAGGGAGGAAGAAACATGGATTTCAGCAAGTGATTCTCCCTCCCATATCACACATTTTTCGTTCTTCTTCTTCTTTCGTTTAAATTTCAAACAAATGATACTCTACTTGTGCAGGATATGGTGAAACGAGAGAGAACTTAGATTAAGTGGAGAAAACTTCGGTAGAAATACCACACAAGGTAAGGGAAAGTTTAATTTATTCAATATATTAGATTGAATTGTTGAGTACTTTGTGAATAAGAAATAGAAGTAGAAATATGAATTATTTGAATGACTGATTTTGAAGATTTCTTCATGTTTTAAAAGTTTGAAATTTAATTAAAATTCTTGAAATTAAGGATAAATTATATGGTAAAATTGTTGTTTTTGAGTTAAAATGGACATATCTCATGTTTAATTTGGATTTGGAACTAGTTTGGTTGCTTAAAACTCGAAAAATTTGAAATCCGAAAAATTTGATATGATTATTGGACGCGAGGTTGAAGAAAGGGGTAAGAGAGGAATTTTTGAAAAAGATCAAGGGTAAAATAGTCATTTTACATCCTAGGGACATAAATGGAATTTTCAAAAATATCTAAGGGTAAAATAGTCATTTTTGGGACATGGACGGAATAATCGAAAATATTCAAGGGTAAAATAGTCATTTTCGGGACATGGAAGGAATAATAAAAAATGTCCAAGGGTAAAATAGTCATTTGTTGGGACATGGAAGGAATAATAAAAAATATTCAAGGGTAAAATAGTCATTTTCGGGACATGGAAGAAATACTAGAAAATGTCCAAGGGTAAAATAGTCATTTAGGAACATACATGGAATTTTAAGAAAAGATTAAGGGTAAAATAGTAATTTAATGATTTCGGGATGAAAAAGGGATAATAGAAAATGTTTAAAGGTATAATTGGAATTTTAGAAATAAAGTAAAGATATGTTAAGAAAAATAATTAAAATATAGAATGAAATTAGAAATTTTAAAGACTCAAGCAGTGTGTTGTGACGTGTGTGGGTCAGATCGAGCTCGAGTGCTGATGCTTAGAATCAGTCATGAAATGTTATGTATTGGCTAAACTGAGCGGGAGGATTGATGCCCAGAATCAGTCAAGTACTATTATTTATTGACCCGAATGAGTTGTGAGGACAAGTGGTCCAGAATCCAACAGATATGAATGATTGTTGTTGTGTTTAAATGGTACCCGGGGTGGTACAAAGTATATTAGTGTACTAACTATGTTGGAGGATCCAGATGAGATCCCAGACTTCACTGATTGGTCGGGTCAGGTAGACTACGAGATTAGGTGGTGAGAAGTTGATGGAGGATAACTAATGATGCGCTCGAAGGGGTACTCTAGAATGAGTGATTAATGACTCCAATAATCCACTATGTGTGGAGGGTGACAGGATGATACTGCGAGTGTCAACTACAATATGCCCACAGATAGCCTCTGAGTTCAGGCATAATTAGGGTAGACTTCCGGAAGGTGTCTTAGTGTATTGATGATTTGTAATTGATGATAACATGTAATTATTAATTTTATATTTGCTTTATTATTTCAAATGATTTAATACTTACCTCTATTTTTCTATGTGGATAAGACTGCGATGATCACTTTTATGTGGAAGCAGATCAGGAGTTGAGAGGTGGAGATGCGACTAATGAGCAATAGGAATAGTTCAATAGGATGATATTTGTGGGAGCTACTTTTATATGTACCTATATAAATAAGTTGTGATACTATATTTTGAGGTTTCAGTCGATAAACCAGGATTTTAATTTATATTACAATTATAGTAATATAATATAATATAGATTTTATTATTTACTTATTTATCATTTTTCAACAACATCATTATAATAATAATTTTTAGGATTGTTACAATAATATGAGATTTGTAATTTATCACGATTATAACAAGTGAATCTGCTTACTTCGACTTTAGTAAAATAAATATGAGATGATAAAAAAAATTATAGACTTACTCATTTTATCAACCTAATTTTTACACGTAAACCTT